ACCCAGCCCTGCCTGCCCGCCGGGGTCGGGTTTCCCCCCCCCTCCCTATACCTGCCTCAGTTCTTGACTTCTGAACTCTTCAGGGAACTCACTGGCGCCAGCTCCATCAACCAAAGTCCTTGTGGTTAGGAGGAGCTGGGAGGGGAGGGAGCGAGGGCTGGGGCCAGCCGGGGCTGGGAGGCTGCCCTTGGGCAGGGGGGCCTTCTCATCCCCGAGGGCTGCAGCTGCCTTTGCCCTTCTCCAGCACCAGCCTGGGCTTCTTCTCCAACCCCTTCCCACATGGCAGAGCCCACTCACCAGCCCTGAGCATGTCAGGTTGTCCCCACAGGGATGCGACAAAGCAAAGCACGCTATGTCAGCCCTGCACAGCACCACAGAGTCCCCTGCCAGCCAGCTTTGACATCCAGAGGGACCCAGCTCTGCTGCCTGGACCCAGGAGGTGCCCCCACTCCAGTCAATAACAGCCATCTGATGCTGCTTGTACATCCCAAAGGCCTCAGTTGATGCTGGGCAAAGCTTTTGGCCTTCCCTGCACTAGAGATCCCGCAGGCTGAGCAGATGCTGAGGGCCCCAGAGGGACTGGCCCCAAGAAATCACAAGGTCACCACCAGTGAGCCAGGCTGGCTAATGAGGGTCACAGCCCCCAGCTGCTGAGCCCAAGGTAGGGGCTTTTGGGCAATAAAACCTGCCAGGAGACAGACTACAGGTAAGTCAGATCTTCCTCTGCTCAGCACCCAGTGAGAATAAAGAAGGGCAGGCAGGGCTAGGTCATGATGGGGATTCAAGACTTCTGGAAGTCAATAGGAATTATTGATGGGTTTTGGGATGACGCACAGCCCCAGGATTTAATCCCTGCACAAGCCCCAGACCTCTCCCTGCAGCCTTGGGAAAGACACACTGCTCCCAGCACTGGAGGTCTGGGCACTCTTAAGCCCCAGGACAACACCCAGTTCAGATGCTCCAGCTCAAATTGCTCCTGGCCTCAGTTTCTCCTTGGGCTCTCTGAGACTAGGGCTCAAGCAGTGCTGTAGAGCACAAGGTTCTGGAAATACCCTGTCTCAGGAGATCTGGCAATTCATTTATAGCCTTTGCATCCAACTCCCTACTTCTGGGATTTAAGTCCTCTAAGAGGTCATGCCATGCCACAAGCTCACACACCAGGAGACATCAAGGCCACTCTTGGTGCTTTCAGGTTTACATCCCAACAGGAGAGTTTACAAAGGTCAATACTCGCTTTGTGGTGCATCCCATGATCCTACAAATTGATCCATAGGGTGAGGGGCAGAGGCACCCCACTCCAGCCAGCTCTGCCTGGCTGATGCCTGGAGACAGGTCCCCAGGCAGCATCCTCCCACCTGCCAAGGGCTGGATTTGTCCCTCTCTGCTAAGGCTCTGGATGTCAGGCCCTGCAAAAAATAATTCAGAGATCATACTCTAAGCAGAGACTGGGGAGATAGGCATTCTCAGATATTTGCCCAAAGAGCTATTTAGGGCAGCGGGTTTTCTTTTCTGGCCACAGAAATCCTTTTCAGCAGGAAATACCAGTAAGCTGGATCAGCCTTCTTCAGAGATAGAAGAAAGCCTCCAGTGCAGGAGCTGACACATGTACTAAGTTGCTGCAAAATCAGTACACTGAGGAGCCCAATGTCCTCAGTCTCTACTTCTCCAGAGCGTCTCACCCCCTTCAAGCACCCAAGGCCATATATGTATTCCTGCCAGCCTTGAAACTTCTGTCCCCTGTCACCTGCCCCGAGCAGCTGCTGGGACAGGCTCATTTCCAATGCAGAGTGGTTCAATCCTGCTCCAGCTGAGGGTTGGGGTCTCAGTATATCCATGCTAGGAGATGGCAATAGAGATGAGGGCCCTTCCCGGGATGCATAAGTCTCCCTTCTCCTCCCCCCACGAAAGCCTGGTGATCCTTTCTCAGGTTCTCTCATTGATCGAGTGCATCTGCCTCCTGCCAGCCGAGAGGGGCAGCCCAGCCAGGGCCTGACCTCCACTCCCCTTTTCTTCCGCCTTGCCGGCTTTCGAGGGCTCCCCTCAACCACAGGGCATCTCTACAGCTCGGGGCTCCCAGGAGCTCGGCATCCCAAGCTGCCTCCCTGCCTCGCAGCTGCTGGCCGGGAGACTGCTGCGAAATACAAGCCCTCCTGCAGGCACCGGGGACAAAAGTGGCGTGTCTGGGACCCTGGCAAGTTCCCAGCTAAACACACCAGGCTCGCTCCGAAACCTGCACTCGGAGCTGTGCTTTCTGAAACCTGTAAAGTCCTCCTATTTTCCTAAAATGAGAGTGAGCAACTCTGCCGCAGGCAGGTGCAAGGTGACCAACACACCCTCACCCCCTCAGCAGAAGGGTGCACCCTGACTCCTTCCTTTCCTCGCTGCTTGATTCGTTTAATTCGTTGGGCTGGCAGCTTGCTCAGGAGCTGCCCCCAGAGCCCCGCCGGGCAGCCCCCGCCGCTTCCCGGAGCGGGGGACGCGGTCC